GGCCTTCTCTTCTTCTTCGGCCGTTCCACGAAGGTACACTGTCGCCCGTGAGACGCGCAGAGGGAACACGGCGGACCGATATCGATCTTGCAGGCCACTTGTCTTTGCCTGCAGAGGTCGCATGGCCTGTACTTCCGCGACTTGTAGGATCGCGGACCGGGCACCGGGGGAGCCAACTCCAGCCCATTGAAAAAATCCGTTGGCGATAGTGAAGGTTGCGCGAAGCTGTGGGAATCCATCTCGCAGGTTGAACGTGCACAGCGCACTCGCAGCCCTCCCCTTCTTCCCCTCCCTATCGCTGACTTATCGCAACCGTTAGTTTTGCGTCGCGCAAAAGTGCACCGCCACCTGCCCTGGTCGCATCTCTTTGCATTCAGGCGGAAATAACGAGTTTCGGGAAGCTCATCGAGGATCCATTATTTGCTTGGAGATGAAAGTCTCGAGAGTCACGCATGCGCCAGGCAACGGGTACGGCCCCGCCATCTGGAGAGACGGCCAAGAGACGGGCAACGTCAAGCCTATCGCCCTCTCCTGAGGAGAATCCTCAGTGAATGGCCAGCTGAAAACAATCGGGCGGAAACTGGTCCAATGTGCTTTCGATAGTTCAAAGACATCGAATCGCGGTTTTGTGCTACTTTATGCCCATTTTCCCGTTGGGGAGCTCGATGTCGCTGCTGAGACTTTGCCCGCGTCCTCCTCGCTTATTTCGACCCCCTTATTTGTACCCCTGAGTATTCTTAGGAGACGAGTTTGATGGCGGAGGTACTTCCTTCAATCACGGGATCTTCGAAGCGAGCTGCCCACATTCTTCTCATCAACCCCAATGGCACCTCTTCTATGACGGAGGCGTGCCTCCGATCCTTGGAAACAACACTGCCTCCATATTGTACAGTCACTGGGTTCACAGCTCCCCATCCTACCCCTTCGGCTATTGAAGGTCATCTCGATGGAGTCTTCTCTGCAGCCGCAGCAGCTCGTGCAGTAATACCCATAGCATCCAAATATGATGCTTTCCTGGTAGCTTGCTTCAGTGCTCATCCTCTGATCAATGCATTAAGAGAAGAGCTCTCGGGCCCAGTCATTGGGATTATGGAGGCTGCGCTATATTCTGCTCGAATGCTTGGTGGTAGACTTGGGATCGTAGCTACTGGGGCAAGGAGCAAGATCATGCATGAAGATGCTATCAGGTATTATGGCTTAGATGGTTTTTCGGTTGGGTGCGAGACAACAGGACTTGGAGTTCTCGAATTGGAAACTTTGCCTAGGGATAAGGTACTCGACTTGGTAGGCGATGCAGCGAGGAGGCTCGTGCAAGAGAAGGGGGCGGATTGTATTGCCTTGGGCTGTGCTGGAATGACAGAAATGAAGATCAGGTGTGAAGAGACTGTAGGAGCAAAGGATGCAACAGCTCAAGTCATTGATGGAGTGGGAGTGGGAGTCCAACTCTTGATTGGACTTGTGAGAGAAGGTCATGTGACTGCAAAGGGGGGTGTATTCCGAAGTGCTCAGGACGGAAGGAAAGCAAGAGGCCAAGATTGGTTATAGGGGATGTGAATAACGACGCTTCGTGTGTATATCTATGTGCGCTCCCCAGCCAATGCAATTCTATAATAGTTCCGGCTCTACAACACCGGCTTGAAGCGTAATGGTAGCGTACTGATCGATCCTGCGATGCCTGTCGAAATCAAAGGTCTTCTCTTTTCCCTGCCGGCATTCCTCTAAATCAATTTCCGCGAAGACAATCTCATCTTCCTTCGTCTTTGCCTCCGCTAGCACATGACCTTCGGGAGAAGTGATACAACTTCCCCCAATCAAATCATATTTTCCATCCTCTAATCCTGCTTTGGCAGCACTAACTGAGAAGCAACTATTCATGTATGAGTTGCCTTGCATCACCAACTTATGATGAAAGACAGCGTCGTCTTCGGCTTCTTTGGGAGTCATGGGCTTCCTTGTACCCCATAGATCAGGTGCAAACCCAGCGGTATTGTATCCGCAAAGAACAACTTCTACACCTTGCAGGCCATAACACCTCCAAGCCTCTGCCCATCGTCTGTCATTGCAGATCATCATTCCCAAGATTGGATCGCCCATTCCAGGCTGAACGCTGCCAGCCCCTTTCTTCTGGGCACCAAGAATCAAATCAGGTGCCCGGAACGCCTTGAAGCCAAGATTTCCCGGTTCGAAGTACCGCTTCTCAAGCTGATTGACTGCATCCGGATTCTCGAACGGCTCCTTGGTACCCGGCAAGTGGACCTTCCGATATTTCGCAATCACCTCTCCCTGACTCGCTGAGTAGTAGACGCTAGTGTTGTAACCATTCCCATCTGCAGTCCGCTCTGCAAATCCCACAGAGATATCAATTCCCAGCTTTTTGGCTTCATCGAACAAGGGTTTGGTGTTGGGGGACCCCGCGAGATTGTCCCCATGCTCGAAGAACGAATCTAGTTCCTTGTGGTCTGATATCAGATGGCGGGGAAAGAACGTGGTGAATGCAGTCTCGGGGAAGAGGACTAGTTGAGCGTCGAGCGTGGAGGCAGATTGCAGCAGCTTGATCATTCGCGAGAGCGTATCTTGACGTGCGGAATCTCGATGCACAGCACCCATCTGGGCTGCAGCAATCTTCAATGTCCTTGGCATTGTGAGAAGATTGGCAAAGAGACTGGCAACGAGAAAACCTCCAATTGGTTCAAGAACGGACGAAAGCAGGAAGACACGTAAACAGAAAGAAATGATGGCTCCGATTCATGCACAGCTGTAAAATTCCAGCAAATCGAGCCTTGCAATCCTTGTTGCTCGGGGCCTTGGGAACCCGTTGGAATCGCGGCGACGCTCTGCCCACCAATGAAAGACAGATATATCGTGGGGCAAACGCATCATGGTTGGTCTCTCTCTTCTGTGTGGATTTGTGAAGATACCAACTTTTGAAACTCAACCCCTCTTATTCACGCCGCCACGGGCCCCTATCCCCTACCACCAGCTATCGATACCAAGCGACGAACTTATCGGGCTCTGGGGAATTGGGAACTTGGGGTGCATAAAGTTGCCCGTCGGGGAACGACCCCCCTGCTGCGCCTCAAATGTCCGTCCGCTATCGCGCAAATGAGAGCTCCTCGATTCATCGCGCGCTTGTTGGCTTGACATCAAGAAATGGCCAAATGGGGTTGCACAACATATTTTCCGACCAAGAGTTAATGTTCTGCATATTTCTTTTGAAGGGTCGGAGAAACATAATTGGCTTGAACTCTATCGACCCCAATATTGCCGAGATGTGCGAATACAGATTACGGACGAGAGATCGAGGATTTCATGGGTTTGACTTTATTGTAAAAATGGAATTCATTACTACACGAACAAAAACGAGTCCCCCTTCTGCTGCTATGCTTTCTCAAAGCAAACTGCTTGGACTTGAACTCTTTGCAGGCTTCTCTTGTCGAAAGGCCCATAATAATTTGAGAAAGTTGGTGGTCTCTCAATAATTGATTAGTCATTCAATTGTTGGAGACTGGTGAGACACCTGGTGGAGAGCACTAGAAAGCACCAGGGAGCAGAGGCGAGCAAGAAAAGGCGGCATCGCAATCTCTTTCGAAACAGCCACTTTTCCATGTAGGGATATGTATTTGATCAGAAGAAATGCTGTCACATACGACCATAGACTGAGGAGAATTGGGCATCCCGTCCGCTCTGCCATACACAAGCCTCAGATCGGCAGATTAGTAGTTGGGTGGGTGACCACCAGCGAATACCTGCTGTTGTATGTTTTTTTGATTATTGTTTTGGAAATTCGGGCTTCTCAAAGCTGTCTGTTTAAAGCAACAGTCTGGCTGAGGCCCTGCTGGTGCTCCGTCACGATGTCTTTATTTTTGCTGATCTTCCCTCGAGCCCCTTTAATAAGCGAGGAAGTAAGTTTACCGGACATTACAGAGGTACTGACAACCTCGCAGGTCACAGCAAGTGAAGTGCTCTTACCTGGTGTCGGTCGGTTTCAAAATGGCAAAGGATGTTTCTTGGGAATGTTTTTCTCACAAGGGGGCCATACTTTAATTATAGATGCCGGAGGCGGCTACATCATGCCAGGTAACCGTACAGCAACCTACTTTCTCCAATGCGGGTGCGAATCGATCAAATATTACCATTCCGGTGGGAAGCATTTCGGACTAAACGGCGATGTAATGATGTATAGAGATATTCTGAATAGGCTTCCCGGGTAGAGACGAGATTGCCATTTTTTTTTAGTTATCCTGAGACCAAAAAGGATTAGAGGTTGAACTTGCAGAGGTTTGAGAAATTGGCCGGTTCAGATCTAGCTAAGTGGTACGGTCTCGAAGTTGTGAAGGATACTATTGCTGTAGGCTATGATGCGGACATGGTCATTTAGCACATTGATCAAGAGCTCAGAGATGGAGTACCGATTCAACAGTCTGAGTTTCATCATGGTGTTGATTACACGCCGTTGAAGGCATGAAAGTCAGTAATTGGCCGAGACTTGCATTTTTGAGAGGGCAAAAGTTTTGGGATCGGGACAATGACGGTGTTGTTGGATATATATCGGATAAAAAGCTCTTGCGGAGAGGAGAGGGTAAGATTGTTGTGGGGAAGATGCTGTGGGCAGGTCAATGGCATGCTAACCGGAAAGAGAGACTGGTGGTGCTGGGAAGTGCTCAAACGTTGCTTAATATCTATCTGCAACTTGAACAGACAAAGTGTTCTCTTGACAAACTCATAACTCGATACCCAGGTCGTTACTCCATTTCAACCCCGCATCACAGCGCCCACGCATGCGTGAGGTAGTGATCTAGGCTCGTCATCCCGCAGCGTTCTCGCGACGCAGCTCGAGGAAGTCACAACTCCTCCATACCTTCCACATTCGCAACCGAATGCCCTCGCCAGATTTGTTGCCATTCAAGAAACAAAAAAAGATGAATCAAGGTCAGTTAAAAACAAAAGATCGATACTACCTCCGAATCTCGACGCCTTGCCCGCAAAAAAATGTTCCTTGAGCGCGTGAGGGGGACTCGAACCCACATGGCCGAAACCACCAGGGAGCTAACAATCTTTTAACGCTGTTTCAACCTGTGCGCGTCTACCAATTCCGCCACCACACCTTTTGCTCAGATGGTTGAGACAAAAGCCATTATTCTGATCTATGTGTTTTGTCCGAGGTGTGCGGGGTTCTTGCCTTGGTCGTTGAGATTACGTGGTGGTTGTTGAAGGAAGGAAAGTTGGCGAGGAGCATCGGCGATCGTGCAAAAGCTCATAGAGCAGGCGGCGGCATGCTTCCTGGAACGAACGTTCATAGGCAATCAAAAAATGAAAGAGTTCCCATGTCCAAAGCATTTAGGGTCCAGTTTTCGCATCGGAACTTCGTTGCTCGCCACATTGCGTTTCGTTTCGTGATATCGGGTAATGGCTCCATAGCGAGATTCTTGAGAGAAGCTAGCTTTCCTGCATCGGATGACGAGGCAGATTTTCGTAGACCATAGTATGCGAGTAGAAGAAGTGCTCGAAGTGTGAAGTTCGCATCATTCCCAGCGTTGTGAAGATTCTGACTCGGACATTGAAGGTATCGCAGCAATGATTCGAGACCGAAGTTCCCACCTAGCACTCCCTTCGCTAGATATGTGGTGTCGAGCTTGGCGACTATGGTTTTAATTTCTTCAAACATAATTCCTTTTCTTCTAAGAATGAGAAGATCGGAACGAAGTCCGTGGCCTATAAGGACGATATTGCGGTATCTTGGTTGTAGAGAATTTTCGATGTCGTCGGGTACGTGCAAAAGCTTCAGCACAACCTCGTGTATACCGGTAGTCGTATTATCAACGTGTTCTGCATCTCCAAAATTGAAAGTCCGAGCTATGCGGACTCGCCTCTTATTTCCTCCAGTGACCGAGTTTCGTGTCTCCAAAGGGCCAGCGGAGTCATGTGAAAGGGTGCGGGTATCGAAGATCGAGATGCCAATTTCGCTGATCCCATCGCAAGAACCTCCTGCAGGACCCTCTTTCAATGGCTCTATATCGAAAGAAACCAGAACCGCATCCCATAAAGGACTTTGGAGGCCAAACCCAAGGATTGCTTGGACCTGCTTCAATGCCTCTCGACCACGTGGAAAATCGATCCCGGATGCGCACATGACTCTGGTGTTTTGGAGCTGCCTTGCAGAAATGGACCTGGCACCGTGGGAGTTTGCGTAAACACCTGTGTTTCCCATATTTGACGATTTAAGGTGCGATGCGGTCGGTGGTCAGTCCTCTTGGTAAGGGGGTTTTTTGGTATGGGAATTGGTTGAGAGTTGTGGGAGGATGCGAAGTAGAGCCTCGAGGAGATATCGTAACAATATCCAATCCGCCTGAAGAAGGTGAATAAAATCCAGAGATGTGTTCGTATTATTTCTTCGAGCGGTCACGTTTGATGAACAAAAGGTGGAAGGTGAGACGACTCATATTTTACCTCTAAGATTCAGTTCTGGACTGATCCCCGTCGCTTGTGCTGATATGGACTGATGGAGGCAGCTAATCACAAGCTCTTAACGGTTCCAGACATCTAAATTAAGTAGACGTGCTGAAATGGCCGTCCGCTTAGTATGCTGGGTCCTATTAAACAGCTCGGGAATTGCTTCGCTTAGCAAAAAGGGGTTTGCTTCGCTAAATGCGACGCTTACAGCTCAGATATTCTTCGTTCCCTCACTTCGCTCACCTTCATGTTGTCGTGATCGCTGTTGCTGAGGCTCGACATATCTAGGCCGTCCATCACCTCCGCCGCCTCAAACTTCTCCCTCATTGGCCACACCCTGCCCGCAATCGTGTAAACTACAAAAGCCACAATTGTACCCACCAACCAACTTAGGCTATAAATGTATATCGCTCCCCTTGGAACATGCTCATTGCCCGTTGCCTTGGCAAGACCAGCCAGATTGGGCGTGATCCCACAAATAAAAGCCACAAATGCACGAATGTTGAAACCGTGGAAGAAGCTGTAGATGTCTGGATGATGGTACAACGAAGGAGATTCAGATGTCTTGCTCTCAGAACCCAGAAGTCAGACATCATGATACCAGCGATCGGGCCAAGGAATAATGCGTATCCGCCAAGGAATGCTGAGAATGAGGCAGCACTGTATTGTATGTTCCAGGGTGTAGCAGCAATGGATATGATGCAGCATACATAAGCTCCTCTCCTCGCATTGATCCACTTAGGGAACCACAAAGCGAGGTCATTGGAGAATGAGACTGAGTTTGCTGAGATGTTGGTCCCAATGACAGCAAACATCCAACAAAGTGCCGAGAAGAATTGGGCTGCTCTGTTATTCCACAAGATGGAAACCTGGAGCGGATTCCAGGTTGTGACACCGTAGATTTGTTGACAAGCTGATGTTACCGTAACTCCGAGTATACCGCAGAGCGTGACGAGAACAACGAGACCGACAGCTTGAGTCCAGAAGACTTGCGTGGGATATTTGGCGTACCGGGTAAAGTCAGGCATGTTTAATGCCAGTGTGGCTTTAGGTCCAATTGCTGTAGTAACGCATTGAAAGAATACCACAACAGGAGGAGTGCCGTCCGTGATATGAGTTCTCTTCGAAAAGGTTGGGCCAAAGCCATGGGCTATGATGTCCGTCAGAAGCTTCGTACAATGAATCATTTGGATGATTGTACCTGCTACAATTGCCCACACAAACAAGGTCAATCCAAATATTGGCATTACAATCGTTTTTGCCATGAAGAGAAATCTCAACTTGGAGACATGAAGCCAAAGCAGTGGCAGTTGGACAATGATGAAGAGAAAGAAATACAACAATTGTGTTGAAGTTACATGCGAGCTAGCAGGAATTCAAATAGCCCGTAACATAACTTCGATGTACTCTCCTCCCTGGAAGCTTTGAGTCCCAAACCCTGCGAAGAAATTACTTTTCAGTTTCTCAATCGGGGCAGGAAGTTAGACATACATATACAGGCCACGACTCCCCGAACGAACACCCCAAAATATGCACCATAAATTCCAAACGTTGACCTCATCAACACTGGGAAATTGATACCATATATACATCCAACATAGCCGTTCAGCATGGCGGGAACACAGACGAGGAGGTGCCCTACAAGTACTGCAACAATGGCGAGGCCTGGGCTTAGACCTTTAGTGATGGAAGACGAAGCTACTTGGTACATTGAGATGCTGAATGCTTCGGCAATCCAAAATCCAAGCAACGATGGCCATGTCCATGTCCTCTCCTTGGAATTAGAAGGCACTGGGTCGAGGTCCTTGTTCGATGAAAGGATAGAACTATCACTGCCAGGGGGAGACGACACAGTTTCGGTTTGCAAGCGGAAACGCTCAATGGCAGCGGGTGCCATTGCGTTCATCCAAGATACAGTCTTGCTTGATTGGGGAAAAAAAAAGCTATGCAGTCAATTCTAAGGGGGAGAATTGACAGCACGTGCTCGGAGACCCACTCTTCAATCTCACCCAAGTGAAAATTTTCAACAGACAGTCACCGAATAATTACTGAGAATGAACCCAATGCATCAACTTACCTTCTTCGTATAATTCTCAGCACTCTGCGCACGTCTTGGTGCCAGCAAAATTCTGGACACCCTCAGCATCTCTTCACGCGGCACTCGAGGTGCATATCTTGCTTCCTTGGCTTGGTGGCTTGGTGGCTTGGGACTGATCGGAACTCCACCACTTCCACATCCAGCCCTACCTCCTCCACTTATTCCACGCTTCTTATCGTGGCCGCTGAACTTGGCCGGAACATCAAGAACTGCGACGATGTGACGATGGAGGTCTTTGCTTGCCCGTCGCCTTGTGGCAAGCCAGCGGAGTAGTCCTGTTCTTGCCCCGCACCACAGCCGGTCTAGCTGATTAGCTGGTGCGGTGGAGCTTTTGATAGGATCAACTCCAAGCGCTCGACGGGGAAGATCTCCCTAATTTCACGATTAACAAGATCTCACCATGATCCATGGTGCGCCACTTTCCAAGTGGAGATGCCCGTGTGCGGTCTTCCAATCTTATCGATGTCGAGGCCAGCCCTGTTGCATGCGTTCAGCTGCTTTAACTCTATTGCACACTTCTCCGCATGTCCTCTTCCGGCCGACGACCAAGTGTGCCGCGAGGCGGTTCGCACAAGTGTGAGCTTGCGTTTGCTGTTGGGAAAAACGTACGGTTATTGATGGCCGTCGCGGTCCCCGTCTATTTCTTATATCCACCTCTCCTAGAAGGGAGGAGGGGAGGACCCCTCTCTCTGCTTTCATTGAAGTATTTTGTTTTCTCAGTATGACCTCTATGTCGCTCGACCCTCCACCATGCAATATGGGGCCTGCCAAAAGCACCCCCATATGTTCTGACCCTTCTGTCGTCGTTGCTTCCAATGCATCTAGCAGAACAAAAGAGCTCTGGTGGCTCCATGGGCATCCCCACTCCAAACGATACTCCAATCCAAAGCTTGTCAGCCTCGCAGCTCTAGTACGGCATGATGGAGCAGCATACAAAGACCAGCCGGCATTCCTATACCCCTCGTCAGAAGACTGTTCCAAAATATATGGAACATTGACATGGGATCACTTTGATCACGTCACAGAAACACTTGCTCTTATATACGCTGGCCAGCTCCAGAACGAGTTAATTGAAGCAAATACCAGCCGGAAACAGCCTACTATCGCATTGCTTGGCCAAGGCAGCACATTGGAATATTTCTGCACCCAGCTAGCTCTCCAAAAGCTTGGCATTAGGGTTCTGCTCCTTGCGGAGTCGAATGCAGAGAGTGCCTTGCACTTTCTGCTGGAGACTTGTGGTACCTTGGCCATCATAACAGATACTAAAAACAACACGACCAATACCAATGGGTTGCGCAAGCTGCTCATGGTCGAAGAACTACCAAAAATCTTGCATACCACGTATCACGAAGTTGACGCCGTCAAATACCAGGATTTCGGCGACATATGGGAGAGGCATAGCTTCATTATCCACTCATCTGGCTCAACTGGCATGCCAAAACCAGTCTTTCATACGAACAGGAGCATGATGCAGATCGCAAGAATGTATCGATTATTTCAATCTTTTGATGTCGAGAACTGGTTTCTCCTATTTCCACTGTGAGTTCTACAATATCA